AGAGAGACAGAGAGAGAGAGACAGAGAGAGAGACAGAGAGAGAGAATATGTAGCCTGCATAATGAACCTGTAAATCACCCAGAGAGTGCTTTGGGATGGTATATAAGCAGCCCCCTTCGCTTTTTTGCTTTTGCAAGAGGCTTTGAGGCACCTTCCTCTTCTCCATTCTCCAAGTTACTGCATGGAGACAAAAAGCAAGCAAAGGAACACTAAGGGCAGGGATTAGTGGTGCAAAAGGGTGCCTTATTAGATGCCCCATGAGGCTGATCACTCCTGCACAAAATATAAGCCTCTGTCCTGTGTTTCCCGGAAAGCTTTGCAGATATCCTGGCCTGCCAGAAAGACCAACAAGGGGGTCCTAGATCAAATCAAGCCTGAACTCTCTCTGGAGGCAAAACTGTTGAAATGGACACCATCCTAGTTTGGGTACATCATGAGAAGACAAGATTTTCTGGAAAAGACAATAATGCTGAGAAGGGTGGAAGGCAGCAGACCAAATATGAGGTTGACTAATTCCCTAAGGGAACCATAAGATTGAGTTTGCAAGAGCTGTCCTGGCACATTGAGGATAGGACATTTTGGAGATCATTCATTTACAGGGTCATCATAAGTTTGACGTGACTTGACAGCATATAGCAACAACAATTAAGTGATGGGTTCAGTTGGCAAAAGGCCCTGATGGCCTATCAATAGCATGGGGCTCTGTGGGCGTACATGGGGTGGAGGGAAGAGGTAAGCATTGAACGGACACGCCTGTCTTTTAACAACAGCTCAGCTGATATGCCAGGTTAACATTTCCAAGCACCTGCTGAGGCCAACACCCCGCTGGGCCACAAATGCCAATCTCTATCGTCTCTTCTACCTCCAGCTATTCCTCCCTGATCCTGCTGTCAGTTCATCTGATCTCGCTAAACAAGCCAGTGGTGAGAAGAGGAGAGAGGAGGAGAGAACTCAACTCATCCTTTCCCTCTGGGATCTAGTGCAAACTGAAGCCAATGCAAGAAGCAAGCAAATGCACAACAGCAGCAGCAGCAGTGGAGGGGAACACGGCACACAGCTTAGACATGTTCCTTTTTTCAGACTGTAACTCCCAGCACTCAGCAAGACATACTAGCTGTGAAATTCCAGGAGCCATAACCCCCCAAAAATAACTTGGTCAAGCTCTGTCTTGCTCCGTAGTCTTTCAAATTTTGGAACATGCAGTGTTGTCTTAGACTTCTCTGTATTTGTCATTTCTATGGTTCATACTAGCTATTCCAGGAGCCATAACCCCCCAAAAATAACTTGGTCAAGCTCTGTCTTGCTCCGTAGTCTTTCAAATTTTGGAACATGCAGTGTTGTCTTAGACTTCTCTGTATTTGTCTTGTCATTTGTTCAACTATTCTTGAAAATCGAACACCAGATTGCATAACACAATCGTAGCAAAGCTGCAGAACGCATTTACAAACACTGACCCTCCTGCTTCCTGGCTGGGGGACTGGGGCAGGGGCACGTAATTAAGCATCTTTTCTTGCTCCTGATTGAATCTGGAGATGTAGCTGTTTCATTGACTCTGCAAATAAGATCCAGGGCATCACTGCCGATCAACAAA